ACCTGTCCTCGCTGTGTGTACGTTAGCTTCCAGAACTTACTCTTCTAATACCTAAAGCTTTGCCTGCGTTGGCTGACACCTGTTTTACGCTCTGCCTCCGTACACCGGGGAACCTTTAGATTCTACACACCACTGCGCTTGCACTGTTAATGTCCTCCAGCTCCTTCTCTGCTGTTGAAAATAGAAAGAAAATTTGTTTAGTTATTTTCTAAATCACTAAATTTGAAATAAAAATACATTTGCTAGATGATTCTAGCAGCCTTAGGGGAAATACTATGGCTAATATTTCACTTAACGTGGCTGCTTTTCCAGAACAAAAGAAATAAGATGTTAAATATTAAAAATGACCAGATGGTAGTGTGTGGCCACCAGAAACGAAGCCAGCAGGGTGAACTCACAGGCACAGAATGCAGCTTGCAGCACTGATGGCGCTGGGCCTGTTTTCTTCAGCATTATGAATCTCTGTTTCCAAATGGCAAAACCAGAGTTCCGGAGAGGCAACCTTATGCATCAAAACATCATTAAACTGTGTGGCTCTGTCCTGCAGGTCAGGTTACTACTGCACTGAAAACTTTACTTTTCTAATCATACCGGAGGTAGTAATTAGAAGGTGCAGTAACCCTGTACAGCCACAGTGGATACCACCCCAAGGTCAACTGGTGGGCTAAGCCCACTGCAGCAGGTAGCTAGCTGCTGGAGGCCAGAGCAGCAGGTGACGGCGTCGCGGGCAAGTTGGCTTTTAATGAAGGTCATCCTCTGCGTGAGGCTCACAGGCTCGCCTGGGTTCAGTTCACAGACATGGAGAGATCGGAGCTGTGGGGAGAGCTTTCGTGGCCCAGGTGCTCACAGTCACATGTCGAGTGCTCACACCGCTGAGGTGTGTGCTGTCCCACCTCGAAAAACACCTGTACCTTTGTGAGGGAAAAAATTTTTCAATCTATAAAGTGTGTTTTAATAAGAGTAAGTATAATATTAAAGATGAATAAATTCAATTATTATTGCATGTATCTGCATAGCCCGGTGATGGATTGGAGATGTTCAGATAAGTCACAAAATTAAAACTTTTAGAGTAAAGCTTCAGTCATTTAGTTTATAACCTTAATTTCAGCCAAATCATCTAATTATGTTGCTATAATCAACACTTTCCTATAAACAGTGCTTTATTAACACTAATGCCAAATTGTGTAATTCGCCTGGATTACTGTAGCTCTTGGTGTCATTTTATTTTATTTACTATATTTCATGGTGCTGAGGATGAAACTCAGGGTCTCGTGCGTGCCAGACAATTGCTCCACCACTGAGCTGCAGCTCTGCCCTAGCTCTTGGCAGCTTTACACAGCTGGGGAAAACTTTGCTCTGCTAAGACAGTAGCACCCAAACAGATCAACAAAAGCCTTAAAGCAATATTTATTTTTTTAAGTGAGAAACCGGGTTTCCTAATTGGCATAGACAGAAAACTGTCACTCCAGCCCACTATCAAGTACAAAGTGCAACAAGTTACATACCAGCAACTCTCCTTAGATCTGCATGCGGTAAACCGCTGCCCCTGAAATGGGACAGATGACAAGTACACACAGAGAATCCCAAGTCACCAGAGCAGAAGTCTCCAGGGGAACCCGCACAGGGTAGGAAAGCCAGAACTGTCACGGTGAGTCGCTAGAGGTCTGGCATTATTGTTGAAGGCTTGGTCACAGCCCTTTCTGCTATTTGGGAGGCAGAAAATCTTCAAGGGGCAGGGCTTAGGGAGAAACCTTCATCACCAGGGCAACCCTGAAAGGGGACCATGGGGATTCCTCTCTTCCTGTCCCTCTGCTCCTGGCCGCTGTGCAGTGAGCAGCTTCCCTCCCCCATGTTCTCCGCATGATGTCATCCTCACCACAGGCCCAGAGCAGCAGGGCAAAGTCACCATGCACTGAGGCCTCTGCAACCATGGACCAAATCCACCTCTCTGCCTCCCAAGTCCATGATCCCATGCCTGACACCTTGCTTGAGCATCCTGTTGTCTTAGGCTTGCCCTAAGGGAAAATGATCTGTGGCATGAGCAGAGCTAACCAGCCCTACCTGCTCTGGGCATCTCGTCCCCCTGAAGGAAGACTTAAAATTGAGTACTTGTAAAGTTCACACCCTGGGATGCAGCCTCCCTGGGCCTGAGGCTTAATCCTGGGTCTGTAGGATGCTTCCCTCTCCTCACACCCCGACAGACATCGCCTTCTGACGTCCTCTCCATGCAGTTCTGTCCTCCAGCACCCCGTACCCAGCTCATGACCACAAGCTACAAGGCACACTGTCAAGCAACAGCCACAGCCAGAAGACACAGAGAAAGCGTCACACCAGACTCAGGTGTGGCCGAGATTCTCAGAGAGGTACTTAAAACAACTATGATTAATGAGCTACAGGTTGTAAAGGAAAAATAGAACTCATGAAGAACGCCTGTGTAACAAAAATAGAGAAATGGAAATTCTCAGGAAGAATAAATAAAAGCTGCTAGAGACAACAACAAAAATCCCCACTATACAGAAATTAAGAGTGCCTGTAGGAGGCTCATTGGTGGCCTGGAAAGAGCTCTGAGCCCAAGGATGCTTTAACAGAAGCTTCCAAAGCTCAAAAAGAAAAAGTCTAGGCGTATGGAACATAATAGTCACAGACTGTGGGAGAGATCACATGTGTATGATGGGAAAAACAGAAGGAGAAGGAGAGAAAGGATCAGAGAAGAAATGTTTAAGGCGATAATGCCTGGATTTCCTCCGAATCCATGCCGGCACCAACCACACCGTGCCCGTTCCCTAAAACCCCCTCCAGAAGCCAGGAGCAGAGGGGGATTCTCCCCAGCTCATCCTGGGAGCGCAGCATTCCAAAGCCAGACAGAAAGGTCACCAGGAAAGAAACCTGCAGACTGAGTCTCTGATGCGCATAGCTGTAAACTCCTCAGTGAGGCATCGGGGAGTGGAACCCAACAGTGCACAAAAATTGACCCACTGGCATTGAGGTTTAGGCTACGGTTCAACACTAGAAGGTCGTTTCATGGAGTCCATTGTATCAACAGGTTAAAACCTGCCACAAGATCACGTAAATAGATGCACAAAAAGCATTTGATAAAATCCAACAGCCATTCATGATTAAAAAGAAAACTCAGCAAACTAGACATAGTGGGGACTTCTTACTAAAGAAAGTCTATGAAAGCCTACGGGTGGCGACGCGCTATTTAATAGCAAGAAATTTACCCAGAATGAGACCTACATTCACTTCTCAGGAACAAGAAGAGAGTGGAGTGAAATATTTAGGAGAGGAGAGAGGGAGAAAGAAAGAGAGAAAGAGGAGAGAGAGAGAGAAAGAGAAACCTTACCGACCAGAGATCTGTGTCTCACAGAATCACCCTTCAGGAATAAGTCTGCGTCTTTGGTCACTTTGGTCACTGTCTCCTCCTCAGGCCAGAGGAGCAACGGGAATAGAAGGAAGCACCAAGCACCACGGTCAGAGGGTCAGAGGGTCGCACAGCTTGCATCTGAGGTCCAGGGACAGAGGACCAGAGCGAGCGGGAGCCAGCCATTAACCCAGCAGGATGGTGTGTACCTGACGAGAGGCCAGTGGTGACACAGAGAACAGATTAATGTTCCAGACCCAATCTATCAGGTTCCAAAATCATTCTGTCCATCACTGTTCATGCAATACATAATTATATGCAGTTAAAGATAAAATGGGCTTTCCCTCTAAAGTTTAGGCCATTTTCCCTGGCAAACCATGTAACATGGTTTTTGTTTGTTTGTTTGTTTTGTTTTGGTTTGGTTTTTGTTGTCATTTTGAGACAGAGTCTCAAAACTATGTAGTTCAGGCTGACTTGAGCTCACTTTGAAGACTAGGCTGGTCTCAAACTTGCACTGACCCTCCTGCCTCAGCCTCCCTAGAACATGTTTATGCGAATTGCAGACATTTTCATTTAAATGTCACTCCTGGGCCCGACTGTGGAAAGGATCCTTATGTTTGCAAGACCCCGGGCAGGAATGTTCTTTCTATTCAGAAACCTAGGGGAAGTACCCTTGCTACACAGCAGCATTCTGGGCGGAAACAATCCTTCTCACAAACTTCCTTCCAGAATCTTGTCTGCAGTACACAAACCGTCCAGCCTTAGCCATGTTGCAGTCCCTTCCTGACTGCCTCGCCCCTCCCTGGAGTCCTCAGTTTTTGATAAAGCTGGATGAAACTTCCCCAGATTACAGGTTTTGCCCATTTTGGGGTTTGCCGACTGCAAACTCTTTGGTGGTTTGCAAACTTTTTGGTGGCCTCCTTCGGTGCAGACCCTGAAAGGTGATATTTGTTTTGTCTGCAGGAAGTTTCTCTGATGGCCTCCCTTGAGTCACCTCATAACTGCCCACTTCTTGGGAAGTTCTTTCTAAACATGCCCAGCAATGTGCAGGACCTGGGTGACCCCAACTTGGCCCTCAGAGCTCCTGGCCACCGGTGCAACTCGAGTACCATTTGGAGATGCTGAGGGATGAAAGGCGGGCTGATGCAGCTGAGGTGCTGTGGGGTGCAGCTGAGCTGAAAATAAGGTGGTCTTCTGAAGGTGTCCAGCTTTCTGCTAAGGTTTGCAGCCACGAAACTACAGGGTCCAGTTGAGCTAGAAGCCAGCCAGTACGCCACAGGCTACTAACCAAAAAGATTGATGGACAGGTGGATGGATGGATGGATGGATGGGTGGGTACCTGGATGGATGGATGGATGGATGGACGGATAGATGGACAGTTAAGCAGGGGGTCATCCCGTTTCACTTGGGTTGCTTGGGCACTGACTTGACAAAGCAAACTGGCTTTGTGAGGCGAGGCTTCTGGGTCTCTGAAATCCAAAGTGAAACAGGTTCTAAAAAACAATCCTCGGGCGAACCTCGCCAGACCCAGAAAGCCAGACAGGGCGCAGACCGCCTTAGCCTACAGGACCCGAGGCTGCTCCCCAGGTCTGGACAAACCGTGCCATCGCAGAGCCCTGCCGGGCCAGTGCGCTCAGAACCCGGCCGGGCAGGTGCAGAACCGGCGGCGCGGCGCGGGGCGGGCCCGACCCAGCCTCCCCGGCCCGCCCGGACCTGCCCGCCGCGGCGCAGTCTCGCGGGATCGCGCTCAGCCGTCGGGTGGTGGGGACCGGGCGGCGACGGAGGCCGCGAACGCGGTGAGGACAGCTGGGGGCGGCGATCGGGGCGCGGGGGTCCCCGGGGCCGGGGCAGGGCTTGGGCGCGGGGTCCCCTGGCTGGGCGGACTCTGGGTGCGGGCCGGGCCGGTGCCCTGGCCGTGTCCTCTGGGTCCCGAGGCCGGGCCGGCTCGGGCGGCGGCGAACCTGGCCGGGACCCCCGGAGCCGGGCGAGCGCAGGACGGCGGGGACCCCCGACCCCACCGGGGAGCCCCACGAGCCTCCCTCGAGGCGGCCTCTGGCCAAAACAGAAACAAAACCAGAGTGGGGTGAAACGTGACCCCGGGCTGGCAGGAGGGCGCACAGGCTGAGCAGCGCCGGGCCCGGGTCCCCCGGCCCAGGTCCTGTGCCCCAGCGCCCCGGGCTCGGCCCGGCCCGCACCGCCCTCCGCGCTGCCCCTTTGCCGTCCACTGCGCCGGGCGCAACCTTCAATCACCTGGCCCGGAGCCGGGCGCCCAGCAAATTACACACCCGGCGGACGGAGGCGTCTGCGGCGGGCGCAGCGCGGCCTCCCGGCGCTGGGCTGGCACCGGGTGGGGTGGGCTGGGTGGGGTGGGGTCCCCCGGCCCGGGGGCGCGGCGACACCTGCGGCTGATGGCACTCCACCCCACCCCCTTGGCTTTGCAGCGCTCCCCGGACCGGGCTCCAGGACATGGCCCCGCGGTGAAATGAGGCCTGTGGGCCGCGCACCCCCGGGCTGGGCCTCTTCGGACCTGCGGGCAGCCAGGTAGTCGGGAGGATGCGGAGGGACGAGGCGCGCGCCCCGCTGTGGCTGTGGCTGTGGCTGTGGCTGTGGCTGTGCGCGGCCCTGCCCCTGGCCGGCGGCCACAGCCTCTTCACCTGCGAGCCGGTGACCGTCCCGCGGTGTCTGAAGATGGCCTACAACCTCACCTTCTTCCCCAACCTCATGGGGCACTACGACCAGGGCATCGCGGCCGTGGAGATGGAGGTGAGCGGTGCAGGGGGCTGCGCCCTGGGGCGGGGGCGAAACCACCGCTTTTACCTTTAGTCGCCTCAGGGATTCTTCAGGGGCTGCCCAGGTCGCATTTGGAGAAATCCTTTTGCAAATGAAATTCCCCTTCCCACGCGTTTTGAGTACACACAGCTCCTCTGTAGTGCATTCACTTAAGCGAGGGCTCATTTTACAGGGAAGTGTGGTGGTGAATGATTTCTGAGGGTCTAATGCCTGGCAAATATTCTGCGTTTCTGAATTAAGGGTGGTAGTTCCTCCAGAAATAGGAACTCTGAACTTTGTCTAACAGGTAACTTATATTCCCTGGGCCAACAGTTAGAAACTCACGTTTCTACAATAGCTGTAGTTGGCTTGGCTCAGTTTTTCCAAAGCAAAATAAATGACTGGAATTTCTGGGCTGCAGACAGCATTTTACTAAAAAGTGCCTGTTTTCTAAAGGTAGCACTTAAGTGTTCCTTATAGGACAATTATTAGCTGAGATGACAGGGCCCAGGTGACATTAAAGATTGCCTTAGGTCCCCAGTTACCTGCCCCTGGTTTAGAGATATGCAGATTGGGAGTGGGAGAGAGAGCTGCCTGTAGAGACAGGAACCCACCCTCCCACACAGATCTGGGAGCTTGATACATCCCCAGAGGAAAGAGGGCAAACAGGTCTTTGGTCTTGCTCCAGAAAAACTGTCTGAGGACCCCTCAGGTTGTTTGTAGGAGATAAACTTGGAGTGGGGCGTGACGGTGCTTGCCCGGGATCCCAGCACTCTAGGAGGCTGAGGCAGGCAAATCACAAGCTCAAGCCCAGCCTGGGCAGTTCAGCCCCTTAGTGTTGTCTCCAAATACAAAATGAAGAAAAAACGGAGGCCTGCGGGGGTCCCTCAGTTTCCCGGCAGCGCAGTCAGGGTTGGGGTTGATGTGGCAGCTGGAAGAGTTTTCCTTGTTGTTTAGTTGAAGAGCTGTCTGACTTCCTTGATGTAGCCTCCTGTCTAGAATGGGAAAGTTTTAAAATACTAAGGAGGTATAATATTTTAAAAATTTGCTTTATATTAGTATTATTATTTTGATCTTTTTGAGGCGGGGTTTCCCTATATGGCTCAGGCTTGAACTCACCTTGTAGCCAAGGCTGGCCTCAAACCCATGGCAACCTCCTGCCTTAGCTTCCGGAGTGCTGGGATTACAGGTGTGCACCATCAGACCTGGCTGAGTAGGTGTAACTTTAAGATAACAAATTACATCATTGGAATCATTTCTGCAGCTTCTCAAATAGTGCTAGATGTGCTTTTGAAGCCTGAGCCAGTGGTGCAGTCAGGACTTCATCGATGAATCAGAACCGTGTCGATGGTTTGATCTGAGTTAGCGTGCGGAGGTGATGGGTTTTACTGGATGGCAACATGCTTTCTAATTCATGCTTCCATAGTAGTCTTACAGTGCTTTCTTTTCATCGGATTCCCTTGCTGTGCCATAGCTGCGTGCTTTAACTTGGAAAGCTAACTGACCTCATCCGTCTCATGCTTTAGGCTGAGGGCCTATAGCAGGAAGACAGGGTGGCCACGTGTCCCTCCCTCCACAAGCTTTAGGCCTACCGTCGTGAGATGGTAGCAGCTAGTTTTTATTCCACACATCTTTTTAGAGCCATTTTTTTCTTCTCTGACGTTAAAGAATGTCGTTTTTATTCATGTGGCTTCTTTCCCAGAGGGTTTTGAATCTGAGTATTATCGTGAAGGTTTTCTGCTCTTGCCTCATTTGTTTGACAGTTGACATCAGTGGAGTCTTTATTACATAACTGTTATACACGCAACTTTCTCCCATCGCCCTTACTAATGAAGTTGTTCTAGAAAGCGTACCTCACCAGGTTTAAGGGCATGAAAGGAGAAAGCTACGACCGCCCGTGGATACCACATCGACCTAACCGGACATACAGGTGAACTGAAACGAAGAGGCAAAATAGGGCAAACCGGGTTGCTGCTAAGCCCCGAGTGATTTCTGGTCAGGGTGGTGCTTTCCCTAGGTCTCACTCCTGGTCATCACTGTCCTTGTAACAAATTGCCTGAATCCTGTCATTGAGTTGTAATTGACCCAAAGTCACACAGAACTTTTTACGGTCTTTTATGCCATTAACCCCTTCCCAGAGTCCGAGACTGTTCTAGCATTTCACCAATGTGTGTTGGGTTGTAAAAGAAAACAGTTACACTGACCAGCCGTTCTGTGTAGGCTCAGCCTAAGAACCCCTGAGATGCTTCATCGTACAGCGCAGAACCAGAAGCCCAGAGAAACTAGGATTTGTCCCAGGCGTGGGCCGGGGGATCCGCTGGTCCTTCACCAGGCCATCGTCCCCGTTCTCACATGCCTGCCTTCAGCGGATAAGCATGAGGCTTTTCCTAAGATGCTGAATGCAACATGCAAATTTCGGTCTTTTCTACATCTTTCTAGACTTCAACTGGATAAAAATTAAGAGGTGATTTTTAAAAACAGGTTCAGCTCTGTCTCTCTGTCTCCTTCTCTGTCTGTATGTCTCTTTCCTTTCTGTCTGCCTTCACCAGTGTCTTGGTTTCAAAGACTTGTTAGATCAGAAATAAGATTCCTGCCCTTCAGTCTTTCTCCTCCAGTGGTGCCTAAGTGATTCCAGGAAAATGCAAACCTGGTGGTCGGAAAAGCAAAGACCTAGCTCTGGCATGGCTGCAGGCCACGGGGCTTGGAACCTGCCGTGTCCCTGCTCCCAGTGCGTGTGGATGTCAGCTGACCGGCTGTCTGTAGGTTCCTGTTTAGTGATTCAGTGTCCTGCTCTTTGGTCCTATCTGAGCCTCGCTCTGCTGAAACCTTTCCGTGGACATCCTTTATGTTCCTTCCCATATTACCTCTGCATGCTAGGATTTGTTTAAAGAATTCAGTTTATGGAAAGGAGCTTCTGATTGGACCATTGGGTTATAAACTATGTGTGTCAGGTTTTTCACCCATATTCCAGTAGTTCAGTTAAGCGCTAGATTATAGCTGCATGTGCTTTGGATTTTACTAAAAATGGGCTTCTTAGCTTTCCTAGGGGTTGGGTTTTTACCTCCCAGCAGCTGTCTTTCTGCGGGTGCCTGTGGAATTTCAGGTGAATTAGTGTCAGGGCAGACAGCTGAAGGTTGCCTGGGGGTCTTGGCAGCTGGCTGCTTTTTGGTTGGTTCCATACTTAATTTGGTTTGTGTTTTGGTTCACGAACTTAATTTGTTCCACGATTTTGACAAGGATGTCTGTGCCCTGTTTGTCAACTGGTGCAGAGTCCTCAAACAGCAGCAAAATTTCGCCGAGTACTTCTATTTGAGAACTCAGTTCCTTGCAAACAGAAGCGTTCGTGAGCCAAGGCATGACTAAGCCAAGAGATCTGTTTTGTCCTCCACATGCCTCGGTTTCCCTTTTGTGATACCTGCTTCCCGGAGTGCAGGCATTTGTGCTCATTGTTGAGCTGTGATGATGAAATCCTTCAGGGCAGTGATCCCCACAGATTAGTTCACAGATCTGTCAGCAGCTTGTGAGCTGGTTGGAGTTCGAGTTTGGGGGTTCCCTGGACCCACTGAGTCCTGACCCTGAGACAGAACCTGAGCCAGGAAATCCGCTTTAGCCAGCTGCTTTGGGGTTTGTTAGGAACAGTGAAGTTCAAGGCCCGTAGGGTGAGCGCGGGTTTGCAGACTTTTCCTGGAAAGGGCCAGCTACGGCCTGGCAGATCACACGGCCTCTGTCATAGCAGCTCAGCCCTGCAGCTGCGGCAGGAAGGCTGTCACAGGTGACCTTAGGCAGAGAGACGTCGCAGTGTTTGCACAGCAGCCCAGGCCTTGTTGAGGGGACCTGGCCGAATCTCAGTGTAAGGTACCTGAAAGTCTCTGCGAATAGTCTGTCTTGTGATAAAGGAGTATTACTGTGTGCATTAATGTTACCTGACCCATATGCTATTTACCTGACACATGAATTTGTAAAGTTTAATGCATTATAAACCAAAAGCACCTGACTGCGATCTCCTGGTGGTTTCGTTTCCAGAGAGTACCTGCTGCCAGGCCCCAGTTTTTCCCTGTGTTGTTCTGGGGAGGAAAATGGTTCCCATGAGGAAGAGTTAATGCCCGATCCCCAACACGAGCTGGCTTTGTCCCGAGAGGATGTTATGTAGCCGCCTCTCCGGGTGGAAAAACAAACGCTGGTTTCCATTGTGCGCCTCTGGAGCGTTCTTTCCCAGGCTGGGAGGCCTCGTCCAGTCCCTCGGGGCTGACCTCATGCAGAAAGGGCCCGGCTGCTGATCTCGGGAAAGGGGAGACCGTACCGCCTCTGCCCTCTGAGCTGTGGGCTGGAGGGCGGAAGGCAGAGGCAGGCGAGCCTTCTGCTGGGCACCGTACAAGGCTGCCCACTTCTGAAGAATCAGAAGGGAAGTGAACCCCAAAGCCCTTTTCACCTGTTCCTGTGCACTGGGAGAATGTAGCTACTTAGTTAAAAATAAAGAGGTGGAGAAAGCCTGACCAGCAGACTTCTAAGAAAAACATCTGTCGCCATCGCGCAGTTGCTTTGAAACGTTTTCATCTTCCACAGGATCTAGGGGACTCCCTCACCTCACCCATCACCCTTCCTCCTTGCCCTTTCTATTTTTTGTGGAAGTGGGGAGGGTTGAGCCCAGGAACCCATGACCTTCACACTGAGCTACACTCTCAGCCCGTTTTATTCTTTTGTGACGGTGGTTCACCAAGCCTCTAAATTGCTTAGGATTTCAAATATGTGTGGTCCTCTTGCCTCAGCCTCCCAGGGCACCGGGATGACAGGTGTGGGCTACCATGCTTGGTTCTTCGTAGTGTTTACCTGTGTACCCAGCACATATGCAGAGAAAGTATTTAGTATGATAAACCTCTTCAGTTTGTAAGGGCTACCACTTAAGAATGGCAGTAGCTAGGTTACCAGTTCGCATGGGTCCTTGGTTTTAGTGATAATGAACATTAAAACTAAAGTCCAAATTTGCAGGGAAAAAG